GGACCGTGCTTTGAGGCATTCTTTGGGGAGGCCTATGTTCAGCAGTGGACTTGTGAAGGGCTGTAATAATGATGATGATGATGGTATTGCAGATTTCTTTAAATACACTCTTCCTGTTTTTATAGTGTATTTGTCGTTATCTTTTAAATGCATGGAACATATACTTGAATAATCTGACGGTAACCACGTTTCTTCGCTGCAATTCTTCTGAACAAATTTGATCCATTATTCTTTTGTTTCATGACAAGGCCGAGAAAATATTTATTTTAATACATTAACATTTCCTACCGTGATTATATATAAATATTTTACTGGTCATATTTACTTAACATTATGCGTCGATAGTGTCAAGTCTGCGTATAAAAATGTTTTTTCGTTGCAGTTGATAAAATATAATTAAATTAAGCGTGTTTTAAAGATACTAATATGTTGAACTTACTGGTGAAACGTCACTCCTTGCCTTTACTTATGTTTCTCGAGTTGTTTGAACAGTATTTCAATGCTTATGAAGGCATAAATAATTTTAAAAATTTCATCAATCAAACGTCTCACGTTCCAGCAACCGCTTGACACAGACTAAGTGAGTTGGAGAGCGCGCGCTCTAACTCATGTTACAAACAATCGAGTTGAGGCGTCTCCTCTAGTACGTAGTACAGTATAACTCAATGGATAAAAGTTAAAATTTACAATAATGGTGTGGGGGGGGGGGACTTAATAAAATAAGTCGTCATTGTTCGAGGTATATACGTTGATTCTGTTCCATTTGTGGAGACGCTATTGTTTTTTTTTATTATTAAAGTATGATTTTTTTTTGTTTAATGTGAGTTCTCTACTGTTTCTATAAATACTAATAATACTCGAAACGTCAGGAATATAAATTGAGTTAATATACACGATAAAATCCGTAAAACTAGTTTTATTTAAATGTGTAGTGAACGCGTAAATATAAGAAATCATTATAATTATTCAGATATTACGTCAAAAATTTGGACAATAATATTCTTAGATTTTGCAAGAATTTTCTGTACTTATTTTTTATATTTAGTAACTATTATATTTAGATTTAAGTTGTTTGTCAAGCAATACCTTTAAATTTTTCACACAAGATAAAGAATAAATACATAATTATGACTGTTTCAATTACTAAATGAATGTGGTGCTCTATCCAAAAGCATATTTACATTCACGTAATAATATAACCATTACACATATACACCATAGAATAGAATAATAAAGAAGAGAATAGAATATGCTTTATTAAGTAGACCAATTATTTAAAACAAGTTTAACATAAAATAAATAAAATTAAAATTACAGTAACAAAAAATATTGTGCAGTTCGACTCCACTCTCCTTGTTCAAGCGACGAGTCTCGGTCGTAAGATTTTATTGCTTTTTGTACGTAGCTTTGTTAATACAACTTTAGACAATGCATTTAAGGTTGAATTTACATTAATGTATATTTATATCAACTAGAATTACGTCAAAACATTTGGCGACAGTTTTTAGAGAACTTTTGTATGGGATTGTGCATCTAGCTTTTTATTAGTGATCGATGGGAGAAAGTTGAAAAAGTGTCCAATTGTATACTAAAAATAGAGGTCCCAAAACCGAAAAACTACAAAAAAACCTACCATAATAGCGCTGGCGTCTGAAAAACTACAATATGAATATAGCAGTTGTAGACGTAGTAAAGTCAGCTGAACTCAAATATTTAAAAAATTTCATGACTTAGTAGTTAGTAAAATGCCAGTATACAAAATCTCAACTATTTACGTAGTACAAAACCAAGCGGATTGGTAGGTCCTTGTTTATTTCTCAATTTTATTCTAATTACTTTTGGCGCTTTTTTCAATTTACCCTATGCTACCGCAGCGCCACTCTTATTGGATGCGTTTTTACGGACACTTATTTATGTACAGAGATGTAAGGACCATCTCTGTACATGAATAAGTGATACTCTATACTCCATGTTAGTTTGTGATTCGTATGAGTTTTGGCGGGAACTTGAACGGCAGTGGTTTGCTGCTCCCGAATTATCGTTTAAATAATGGTTTGAAGTGGATTTTGATATGTTAAAGAGGTGCGATTTTGTGTATTAAGTGTCTGCGCATGTGAACTATTAGTGGAAACGGTGAAACAAGTGATCTGATGGTGATCTGATTCTCAAGATAAGATGTCTGGTTGCTTAGGCGCTTTGAGATATCATCGCCAACTATCAGCTGTCTGCTGGCTCAAGTTGGCGTCAAAATCTCCTAAGGACTACATAATGTGACCCATCAACATATTGTGAAGCAGTCCACTATGAAGGATTGTAAATTCAGGCTCAGAAAGGGCTAGAACCCAAAGCCGTAAAACCAGTTATAAATAAATAATAAATAATGTGATTCGCACAAGAAGATTGTAAAATATAGAGAGTGCGCACTTCATACTAGAGAAACGTTCCTAAATCAGTGACTTTGAAATGAATGAAAGGCACCGAGTTAAGCGTTCCATTTCTTTCTAATAGAGTGTCCATGATACAATATTTTGAGGATATTAATAGTATATACAGCATTACGGAAAACGAAATGCGTATTTTTTTTTCAATATGAAAGTGCTGCATAATGTTATAATTAAACCCCGTTTAATATTTTGATTGCTTCGCTACAATATCAAACCTTACGGTAACTAGTGCCGGCGTAGCGTGGGTTTGCACCCAGGGCGGTTTTCTATCAAACACGACAATTTAATTTAACATTGTAAGTAATATGGGGATAGTGTTGTGGGCTACATCATTGTGAATACATTATGTTATCGTATTTTAGATATTACTGTATTTTGTTGCTGTTTGCTGTTCCTTAATAAATAAAATAAAGCACTCCCCAAAATGAAACAAAAAATGCTATACATGCTAACGGGACTTTATTTTGCTAAAATATTCTAATATATTATCAAAATTTACTTTTTGTCATTTTTGATAGATAAAATGAAATGATTGGTTAGTCCCGCTTGGCTCATTGTGGACCTTAAGTTAGATTTTATTAACTTGAATTTTGAAAAGCTACCTTCACATGAAACTTAATAGTAAAAAAAATCTTAGACGCAGCGTTACACTTGGAACAGATTCAGAATAGCCCAATTTGACGAGAAAAGCTCCAATGAATTACATTGAACCGCTTCTTTTACACGAAGATCTTCATCTGGTGACGTTAGCAGAATGTAAGGTTAAACAACACTAAATGTTACGACAATATCATCCATTGCTCTGTAGCGATGGTCTAGTTCCTCGTAAAATCTGTCAAGACATTCTAAAATAGTTCTCTGCAGCTCCTAGACCGCTAGTCTAGTTCCCGCCAAAACTGAATAGAATAGAATGATTATAAGTTTGATTTAAGATTTTTAAGTCCCCCCCCCCACACCATTATTGTAAATTTTAACTTTTATCCATTGAGTTATACTGTACTACGTACTAGAGGAGACGCCTCAACTCGATTGTTTGTAACATGAGTTAGAGCGCGCGCTCTCCAACTCACTTAGTCTGTATCAAGCGGTTGCTGGAACGTGAGACGTTTGAGTGATGACATTTTTATATATTGATGAAAAATTGAAAAGAAATGAAGAGGTTTATGAACTTATACCTACATATGATGAATATCGACAAATTTACACAGATGGTTCAAAAGTTGAAAATAAAGTAGCCTGTGCATTTTACATACCTCATCTGAAAACTCGACGTGGCCTTTTCATTCCTGCATTAGCGAGCATATACACTGCAGAATGTTATGCTGTCTTAATCGCTCTTAAATATATAGAAGAACACCCACATGTATCTAATAAATGGTCACTGATCTCTGATAGCATGAGTGTCTTGAATGCACTGAAGGCAAGAGCTTTAGATGCTAAAACGACTTTCATCATATATGAAATCAAAAGTTTGTGGTGGAAATTGAAAGAAAATAATTTGGAAGTAAAATTTTTATGGACTCCGTCATATATTGGGGTTCAAGGAAATGAAAGAGCAGACCATTTAGCTAAAAGTATAGTTACAGCTGATATTGACAGGATAACCGACGTTGCAATACTACATACAGATTTAAATTCAATTTTAAAGCAAGAGTTAAAAGAAGAATGGAAAATACAATGGAATGCTGTTTTAGAGGCAGGAAAAGGTCGTTGGTATGCATCAATTAATTCAGAATTAGGTATTCCTTGGTTTTCTCGCAACGATATGCGAAGATATCGTAGCAGAAAATTTTATACAATAATGTGCAGACTTAGATTTGGCCACTATCGACTGAACGCTCATCTTTCCAGGATGAGAATAGTAGCATCTGCAACATTCATTGAAAAACTTATACAAGTTTATGAAAACTTAGAAAGCGTCCCGCGTTCCCTGCAAGATGTTCTTAGGAATACTAAGACATATTTAGCACTTTGCAATTTTATTCATAATACTGTAAAAGAAATATGATATCCCTGTTTTTGAAAATATTGGATTGACAAATCTACATGGATTGAAACTTACAAAGAGTATAATATAAAGAAGACTTGGCTTTAGCCTTTACGGGTTTTTGAAAATATGAAGAATTAAAGAAAGTAAGACTTGACTACGGCCTTTATGGATTTTGAAGAGATGGAAAGAAGAAAAATAAGACTTGGTTCTGGCCTTCACACTCTAAAATTCTATATATTCAAAATAAAAAGACAAGGCTGTATGGCTTAGTTCCTTTGCCTGCTCACTCGAGCCAAAAATAAAAACAACAACAACAACATAAACTCCAAAAAAAAAAAATAACAAGAGAAAAGCACAGAGTACAAATTATATATAGGCGTAGTATCCACTAACACGCGTAGTGTTTCTACTTTCTATCGGTGTTTCTATATAGTTTGTGCTTTCTATATAGTTTGTGTCCACTAAGTAGTCTGTGTATATAGGGAAGAGAAAAGTCCGGTTTGGCCTAAAGGTCTAGATGCCAGGCCATAAACTCCAAAAAAAAAAAGAAAAGTCCGGTCCGGTTTGTTGATGAAAAAGAGAATTCAATAATCAATTTTAATTTTTAATAAAGCTATAGAAAACAACAATGGCCTTTAGTGAAGGTGAAGTTTGTAGAATTTGTTTAAGCGTTAATATACGCATGTTTGCGCTAAAGGAGACTGGCCTCCAAAATTTGTATAAAACATTGACGAACAGTTTTGTAAGTTTTTTAATATTTATTTATTGTTAAATGAAGTTGCGGTAATTTGTTGTTATCACTGGAGAAACACATTATGGTGCCCGATATATGTTCTAAGGTGTAGCGTTAAATATAGTACAAATACAACCAGAACCTGAAACACAACAATTAGCCTGGTATCCTGGGTCGCACTAAAATCAGAATTATCATTTTAGTAAAGCCTAGTAGGATATACTTGGGTACGCAAGGGGCGGCATGTTGCGCAACATGTCTCTCAACTAATACGTGGAATGTCCCAAGACATATGTCACACTAGTCACCTAGTCAGTGCTTATAGAAATGTCGCCCGAGCAGGTTGTGGCGATTAGTGCTGTGTACGTAGTGCTTATTTCGAGAGTGAAGCGTAAGCGAAAGAGAAAGTGGTGGACGCAGGATGAGAAGGAAGAGGAATTGATATTTTAAGTGATCTTCGAATGTCTGACAAATCTTTTGTGAATTTTACTCGAATGTCGACATCTGATTTTGAAACTTTAGCGGACCTTCCATAGCCAAACAGGTTACTATACTACGGAATGCTGTTGCCCTCATATCAGTATCAGACTTGCCATTGCATTAAGATACTTGTCGACTGGAGTTTTTTATGCTTTTTTGTTCTTTATTCTAGTGTTGAAACAACTGATCGGCAGAATAGTACCAGAAGTTAGTGGTTAGAAGTATCCCATAACAAATCAAATCAAATCATTTATTTGTAATCCAAGTGTACATAATTGGTCTTAAATTAAAAATGTGCTTACAACTTAGACGCCCTTTTGAGGCACTGCAAATTTGACAAGGGCACTGCTTATATACTATTAACGTATATAAAATATAATTAAAAGCTATAAAAAAATATAAAAATATATAATAATGTTATTTTATATTTAAATACTCTTCTACTGAGTAGAAGGGGTTTTGTTTTAAATATTTACCGAGTCTTGATTTAAATTTGGTTATTTTGAAGTAAGGTCTTTATAGGGGTATTTGGATTCGTAATTTTTGGTATTTTGTAACGACACACCTGACATTTCCAATTTTGTTTCCTTTCAGCTGGCACAATGTTGTAAAACTATTTTCCGTAACATTTGTGCAGTTTAAGTCATAATAATTTTTACATACTTAGTGCACAAGAAAGATGTTTTATTATTTTTCTCAAGATTTATTTTTCTCACTGTTCATTTTTAATATAATTGACAGCACCCTCTTGTAGTGGATAAAAGTTGTATAGACAGCAGATATGATGCGTTGTTATTAGTTCTTGTGTTCCAAACTAGATATCGCTATTTATATTATAATTTGCAATTTCTCTACTTTCCACTAGATGGCGTTTTTCGTACAATCTTTTTATATGTGAAAACGGCGGGTATATATTATATAGATTTGAAATGTACTGGTTTTAACATTATATGGAAATAAAGTTTTATGATCACTAAATTGTTTTAGCTCATACACTGTTTATTTGCGTGTAATTAGGCTCACTTATACCTTTTTATCACTGTCACCTATGTTTTGCATAGTATTTATTTAGTTTACACAAATAATTGTACACAAGTGTAATGTCTTATGGAATTTTACTATGGGGTAATGTGACTGATATTGTAGCTATATTTATTTTGCAAAAGAGAGCGGTACGGTACTGTGTACGGTACTACACTTTCACAGAATGTGTAGTACCACCCACCACCCTGTGTTTTGTTTCAATATCCTCCTACCACAAGCATTATCAGTTTACTGAGAGTGATAAGAGAAGTATTTGTAATGTTCTTAGTGATGATAGTAGTTTGAAGTTAATGTAGGTAATGTAGTTGATGGATGTAGGTGGCTTGAACCCGTAGGAGTTTTTTTCTGCCTAGATAACATCCCCTTACCATTTTCTGGCTCCAAGCAGCAGTATGTCACCCAATCTGAAAGACATCGAGAGCCAGGCTGTGATGCATTACATCTTAGTCCGCAGAGGTAACATTGCATGTGTAGCCATTGCTTGAAGTTCGTTGCAAGTGCCCCTGGTGCCCATTAGTCACTTACCATCAAGTAGATGGAAAGTTTATTTGTCACTTCAGTATTATAAAAAAAGATATTGACAAAGTAAAATGTGAAAGCCAATAGATTTTATTACAAATTTATATATATAAGTAGTATTCCATATTTGTGAAGATTTTTTATATTTTCAGTTGGATGAGAATGAGGGGCCCATAATTGTCTGTTTCACCTGTCATGCAAGACTCATTCGTTGCAGACGATTACAACAACAGGCTATAGACTCAAATGTGGTTTTGGAGCAGTTGCTTTCAGGAGGATCCATGGTATTATCCATTCCATCCATTAAAACCTATAAAAGTCCACTGCTGAACATAGGTCTCACTCATAGATTGTTTCATAGAAGGGATTTTGCCAAATTTGCCACACTTGGCAAGTTGGCAACCATAGTTTATATTAGTTGGGAGTCATTATCAGGAAGATGCTGCCCCCTCAACTCCTGTTTCTGTTTCCTTCTGTTGCCTCTTACGACACCCATCCCGTGGATAGGTATATAGGATAGTGGATATTCTTACATTGTCACTGCAGCATCCACTTTTCTATGCTGCTTCCCATTGCCATATGGGCGAATGTTTCTAGTGCAAAGTTAAGTTTGTCCTTCAATCCAACTTTTTTGTTAGAGCAATAGTACTTATTTTTACAAAATTAATTATCAAACTGAAACAACTTTACACTTATATATTACCCTATTGTATACAAACAAATCTCAATAAACAAAGATAAATCTTTGTCCATTTACAGCTTTCGTGAATCTGAATCCAAAAGTTGTTGAGACTCGATTCTCGGGATAGATGAACTATGTACATTCTTATTTAAGTTTACGCTGAACCCTCACTTTTGTCCGGTGTTTATTATTATTTGAAGTTGTTGTCAGGAAGATGCTGCCCCCTGATCTCCTGTTTCAGTTTCCCTCTGCCCCTTTTTACGACATCTGCGGGATGGCAGGGGGTAGTATGGGTTCTCCTACTCCACCACTATAGTGACTTTTTCTCTTATTTGAAAAATTATTTCCTTTCAGTCAATACCAAAACCGCATAAGGTTAGAGATGAGATTAAATTCACACCAATTTATCATATAGATATCTGGCCTGTAGAGTGTGATATAGAAAATGATTGCAAGGATGAAATTTTTTGCCTTGATGCCGTTAAAGTTGAGGAAGAGATTTTCGAATATGAGAATTCCAAATTGGAAGTAAATGAGAATCATGAAACAGGTAAGATATACCCTTTTTTGATATTATGAGGGCGGCACTGAAAATTTCGGGAATCAAGGAAGTGACACAACATTACTATTTAAAAATGTATTTATTGCTTTTCGAAGTATTCTCCGCGAAATTTGACACATTTTTCCATACGATGGAACCAATCATTGAAGCAACCATTCCATTCGGAAGTTGGGGTCTCCAAAATGGCCGTTTTGTAGGCGTCCACAGCTTCTTCAGGTGATGAAAATCTCTGTCCACGCAATTTATTCTTTATTTTAGGGAAAGTATAGAAATCATTAGGGCTTAGGTCGGGGCTGTACGGCGGATGGTCTAATAATTCTATGTTTTCTTCACACTCCGTGAACGAACAATTTTTGTTGGCTTTAACTCATTTTCGAACACCCAAACTCGTGACTGGTGTTTTGTTTCGGGTTCGTACGCGTATATCCAGGATTCGTCACCTGATACGATGTTGTATACAGCATTTAAGGATCCTGCGTGGAATCTTTCGGGAGTTCTGACGCACCAAGTAACGCGAGCCGCTTTTTGCTCTTCACAGAGCGAATGCGGTATTCATCGGGAAAACAACTTTTTTACACCTAATTGTTCATACAACGCCCACCACGTTTAACCGATCATGCGGGGAGATCTGTTTATGACTTTGCTTTGGCATATGGTCTGACACAACTGGTTACTTCGCTTACGCGGATTCCAGATGTGGAGGATCATACACCTTCCCTGTTGGACCTTCTGCTGACCTCTCATCCGGACGGATATCAGGTTTCCGTCGATGCCCCTCTCGGCTCTTCGGACCATTGTCTGATCCGGAGTATGGTGCCACTCACGCTCCCTTCGCGGTTGCGTTCTGCAGGTTGCCGCCGTGTTTGGCATTACAGGTCGGCGGATTGGGACGGAATGCGGTCTTTCTTTGCATCCTACCCATGGGGGCGGGTTTGCTTCTCGCCGGATGATTCCAGCGCTGTTGCTGACTCTGTCACTGATGTGGTGCTACAGGGAATGGAACTATTTATTCCATCATCTGTGGTACCCATCGGAGGCAGATCTCAGCCTTGGTTTGGTCGCTCCTGTAAGACTGCATTGCGCAGTAAGCAGGAGTGTTATCAAGCCTGGGCTGCGGCTTCGGTGACTCGGGATGTAAACACCAGCACACTTAAAAAGAAGTATAACTTCGCCTCCAGGTCCTTCAAAAGAGTTATTGCCAAGGCAAAGTCAGAGCACATAGGCAGAATTGGCGAGAAACTAGTTCGCCTTCCTTCGGGAACCCGTGCATTCTGGTCTCTCACCAAGGCTGTCCAAGGGAATTTCTGTAAGCCATCACTACCATCTCTGCACAGGGAGGACGACTCACTGGCCCAAGACGCAAAAGACAAAGCCGACCTTTTAGGCCCCCTTTTTGCGTCCAACTCGACTCTTGATGACGGGGGGGAAAATACCGCCGACCATCCCGCGGTGTGAGTGCTCCATGCCGGATGTGCTATTCTCACAGCGCTCAGTTCGCAAAGCACTTCTCTCTCTGGACATCCAGAAGTCGAGTGGGCCTGACGGAATCCCCCCAATTGTGCTGAGGACGTGTGCTCCGGATTTGGCACCGGTCCTAACGCGTCTTTTCCGGTACTCCTACTCCCAAGGCGTAGTTCCGAATTCATGGAAGACAGCTTTTGTCCACCCGATCCCTAAAAAAGGCGACCGCTCAGACCCGTCCAACTATAGGCCTATCGCGATCACCTCCTTGTTCTCCAAAATAATGGAATCCATTATTAACTGCCAGCTCATCCGGTACCTTGAGGATCACCAGCTGATTAGTGACCGCCAATACGGTTTTCGTCGGTGTCGATCAGCTGGTGATCTTCTGGTCTACCTGACCCATAGATGGGCGGAGGCAGTAGAGTCCAAGGGGGAGGCGTTGGCCGTTAGTCTGGACATTGCGAAGGCCTTCGATCGGGTTTGGCACAAAGTGCTTCTTTCGAAGCTGCCTTCCTATGGGATTCCCGAGAAATTGTGCAATTGGATCACCAGCTTTCTTGCAGATCGAAGCATCAAGGTCGTTGTAGACGGTGCATGTTCTGACTACAAGCCTATTAACGCTGGTGTTCCACAAGGCTGTGTGCTATCACCAACGCTGTTTCTTCTGCATATCAATGATATGTTGCTAACTGGTAACATTCATTGCTATGCGGATGACAGCACTGGTGATGCTCTATACACCGGCCGGGCCAATATTTCTCGGGAAAACGTCGCCGAGTACCGGAACAAACTTGTGTCTGAAGTCGAGTCTTTGCTGGACAAAGTCTCGGATTGGGGGCGACTAAATCTAGTCCAGATTAATCCTCAGAAGACACAAGTTTGCGCGTTTACCGCTAAAAAGAACCCCTTTGTCGTATCTCCGTCGTTTATTTTTTTTTATAGGAGAGGGGGCAAACGAGCATGCGGCTCACCTGATGGTAAGTGACTACCGCCGCCCATGAACAACTGCAACACCAGGGGAATCGCAGATGCGTTGCCGGCCTTTTAAAAAGGAGTACGCTCTTTTCTTGAAGGTCCCTAAGTCGTATCGGTCCGGAAAAATCGCTGATGGTAATCGATTCCACAAGGAGGTCGTGCGAGGAAGAAAACATCTTCTAAATCGCACAGTGGTGGACCGCCAATCATCCAGATGGTGTGGATGGTATCGGGAGTTCTGCCGCGATGTGCGTTCGTGAAATTTGGCGGCTGGGATTAATCCGAACAATTCCTCAGAGCACTCCCCATGGTAGATGCGAAAGAAAATGCAAAGGGATGCAACATCTCTTCGCATTGCCAATGAATCGAGCCGATCGGAAAGGGCTCGGTCGTCGACAATTCGAGCCGCTCTGCGTTGGATGCGGTCAAGTGGAAGGAGCTGGCACTGGGGAGCCCCTGCCCAGAGATGGGAACAGTATTCCATGTGAGGCCGAACTTGCGCCTTGTAAAGTAGCAGGCGGTGTGCCGGCATGAAATACTGTCCCGCTTTGCTGAGCACGCCAAGCTTTTTAGAGGCCAATTTGGCCTTCCCTTCCAAGTGACCACGAAACTGCACGTCACTCGATATGTCGACTCCGAGGATACCGATACTGGCTGAGGCAAGAAGGGGAGTGCCTTGAAACTGAGGAGATACGACAAAGGGGTTCTTTTTAGCGGTAAACGCGCAAACTTGTGTCTTCTGAGGTTTAAATTGGACTAGATTTAGTCGCCCCCAATCCGAGACTTTGTTCAGCAAAGACTCGACTTCAGACACAAGTTTGTTCCGGTACTCAGCGACGTTTTCCCGAGAAATATTGGCACGGCCGGTGTATAGAGCATCACCAGTGCTGTCATCCGCATAGCAATGAATGTTACCAGTTAGCAACATATCATTGATATGCAGAAGAAACAGCGTTGGTGATAGCACACAGCCTTGTGGAACACCAGCGTTAATAAGCTTGTAGTCAGAGCATGCACCGTCTACAACGACCTTGATGCTCCGATCTGCAAGGAAGCTGGTGATCCAATTGCACAATTTCTCGGGAAGCCCATAGGAAGGGATCTTCGAAAGAAGCGCTTTGTGCCAAACCCGATCGAAGGCCTTCGCAATGTCCAGACTAACGGCCAACGCCTCCCCCTTGGACTCTACTGCCTCCGCCCATCTATGGGTCAGGTAGACCAGAAGATCACCAGCTGATCGACCCCGACGAAAACCGTATTGGCGGTCACTAATCAGCTGGTGATCCTCAAGGTACCGGATGAGCTGGCAGTTAATAATGGATTCCATTATTTTGGAGAACAAGGAGGTGATCGCGATAGGCCTATAGTTGGACGGGTCTGAGCGGTCGCCTTTTTTAGGGATCGGGTGGACAAAAGCTGTCTTCCATGAATTCGGAACTACGCCTTGGGAGTAGGAGTACCGGAAAAGACGCGTTAGGACCGGTGCCAACTCCGGAGCACACGTCCTCAGCACTGGGGGGATTGGGGGGATTCCGTCAGGCCCACTCGACTTCTGGATGTCCAGGGAGAGCAGTGCTTTGCGAACCGAGCGCTGTGAGAACAGCACATCCGGCATGGAGCACTCACACCGCGGGATGGTCGGCGGTGTTTTCCCCCCGTCATCAAGAGTCGAGTTGGACGCAAAAAGGGAGCCTAAAAGGTCGGCTTTGTCTTTTGCGTCATGGGCCAGTGAGTCATCCTCCCTGTGCAGAGATGGTAGTGATGGCTTACAGAAATTCCCTTGGACAGCCTTGGCGAGAGACCAGAATGCACGGGTTCCCGAAGGAAGGCGAACTAGTTTCTCGCCAATTCTGCCCATGTGCTCTGACTTTGCCTTGGCAATAACTCTTTTGAAGGACCTGGAGGCGAAGTTATACTTCTTTTTAAGTGTGCTGGTATTTACATCCCGATCTCCGAAGCCGCAGCCCAGGCTTGATAACACTCCTGTTTACTGCGTAATGCAGTCTTACAGGAGCGACCAAACCAAGGCTGAGATCTGCCTCCGATGGGTACCACAGATGATGGAATAAATAGTTCCATTCCCTGTAGCACCACATCAGTGACAGAGTCAGCAACAGCGCTGGTATCATCCGGCGAGAAGCAAACCCGCCCCCATGGGTAGGATACAAAGAAGGACCGCATTCCGTCCCAATCCGCCGACCTGTAATGCCAAACACGGCGGCAACCTGCAGAACGCAACCGCGATGGGAGCGTGAGTGGCACCACACTCCGGATCAGACAATGGTCCGAAGAGCCGAGAGGGGCATCGACGGAAACCTGATATCCGTCCGGATGAGAGGTCAGCAGAAGGTCCAACAGGGAAGGTGTATGATCCTCCACATCTGGAATCCGCGTAAGCGAAGTAACCAGTTGTGTCAGACCATATGCCAAGGCAAAGTCATAAACAGATCTCCCCGCATGATCGGTTAGTCGTGAACCGAGCCATTCGGCATGGTGGGCGTTAAAATCGCCAAGGATCACGATCTCTGCGGATGGGACCTGTTGTAGCA